GTTATATGTTACAAATTTTTACAACACTTTCAAAATTTCGATCAAAATTTAACAAATTTTGAATTAAATTTTCTTATTTTATGTATATTTTAATGGCAAAAATAACATGAGATATTCGTGCATTTATGATAATTACTTAAATTGAAAATACTTCAAATGTATTAAATGTTTAACAAGTATATCGTATAATTTTAATTGAAAATTTTCATATGTATGAGAGAAAGAGAGAGAGAGAGAGAGAAAGAAAAAAAAGAAAGAAAAAAAGATGAATAAGTAAAAAATTTACCGCAAAATAATTCTTTCAAAATTTGAGCCGTCGTTTTGATGATTTGTTTCTTGAAATTATTCTATTGTAGGATAAGAAAATAATTCCGTTATAGTTTTAATTGAGAAAGGCTTATAGTAGCCTATACTCAAAATAATAATTGATATAAATAATCACTGAAAAAAAAAAATACTTCTCTTTATCAAACATTATCAGTAATATCAGAATGAATTCAATTCAGCCCTCAAATAACCAACCAGCTCAAAGTGCTATCCATCCAACGAACAGCAAACTATCAAATTGCACCGCCTTCCTCTTCTTCTGCAATCCCTTAAACTTCTCTTATATCTTATAAATGGTACACACCCTTTCGACGACCATATATCTATCCATTTATCCATCTATCCTTCTAATTCATCTATCTATCCATTCATCTTTCTTTCTTTCTATCCTTCTATCCCTCTATCCTTCTATCCATTTTATTCATCTATCAATCTATCTAACCATCTATTTCATATCAATCCATTTTTTTTCTTCAACATTAATATAGTCAAATGTTTTCAGGCGGGAGATTTGCTACCACGCCCAATTCATGTAACTCTATCCAATCAGATTTGAATCAATTCTTCTAGAATACATTTCGAATAATTCGAATCAGTTAAGACAATAAGGCTTTTATCCTTATTGTTGCAGTATTTTGCTCTATGCCAAATAATGTTACTTTCACATGAAAATTATTTCTTTTAAGGTTTTTTACTTCAAATATTGCTGGCCTTTTCTTTTGCGTATACATTAATATTCTGATGGATTGTATCTTTCATATTTTATTGAATTTTTAAAAAGCCATAAATATATACGTATGATTAACTGCCATTCTTGCTCCTTTTTCTTTTTTTTTCTTTTGGTATCATTTTAAGCCAATTCCTGCACCTGCTTTTATTTTGACCTCAAGACTAATGTCAAAAGCTCAATTACCTGATTTCTACCGCCCTTCTTTTTTTTTGAAATGGAGAAATTCGAAATTTTGACTTAATGAATGAATGACCCACGGTCATTGCAATTAAGTCCGGTGGTAGATTTGCAAAATATAATAGCTTGGACAATATGGGATATAAATGTTTATGTTGATAGATAATATTTGAAGGTTATTTTTATATTATTGAAATTGCTTCCCAACATGTTCTTTTTTAATATAATCTATCTACAATTATTTTCAAATCAATAGTTTAGGATTATGTAAATTAAGTGAAATGTATTTTAAACTGTTAAATTAAACTTTAATGATTACAAGTAGGTTTAATGAAGTTGGCGCATCCAATGCTAAATTTATTCCAAATTCAATCAATAACTTTTGCTTTTGTTGGATGAAAAAAGTTTTGTCAGTTTAGGATATCCTCTAATACACTTACTCATTTTAATTTTAGTTATTTGAAAAAATAGTAGTTCGGAAGAAAAAAAAAAAGAACGGAACTCAATTCTGATCAGTTATTTATCAGCCTAGATAACTTATTCTTTTTTTTTTTACCATTTATAACATTTCAACTAGGTCAATTGTCACACAAATTGAAATTAAATAGTTTATCTAAAATTACACATGTATAGATTATAACTAGAAATCCATTTCAATCTCTTTTTCGTTTTCTCTTTCTCTCCCTCTCCCTTTCTCCCTCCCTCTCTATCTTTCATTTTTGCATCAAATTAACAGAATCATTTCAAAAAAAAAAAAAAAAAAGTGATAAAGGTATGTTCTAATGTTCTGATAACAATGTAATCTTTAAAGCATTCCGATGCAAAATTAAAATTTGCCATATTGATTGGTAAAATGTTGTAAAGACTAAAAGTCAACTGAGGAAATAATGATTGTGACAATAAAATTGGTGATCTAAACGGCGGTATCCTTCTTTGATATATCAAACTACCGAGATTTTATATATGATCATTTTCATAGCAGTAATGATAAAAAAAAAAAAAAAAAAAAAAAGAAAGCCTTTATAGTAATAGCATATCTGCGCAGCAATATCTTTCACTATTCAAGACAAATGACGAGAGGATGTTAGCCTTGTTTGATGATATCATCCTTTCAAAACTTTCCGCTATAAACATTTTCCCCGTTATTGCAGATAAATCAACAACTGCAACAACTGTTTGACTGATAGCATACAGTATCTGTTGACAAATTTGACATGGAATTAATTAGGCTCATTAATTTAACACATTATGAGGAATAAATGTAATATCATTGTATGATTGATAGAATTGATACCAGATATGAAGCTTGAAATTGATTGATACAATTTCGCAATAATTGTTTCAATAAAAAATCTTTGATTAATATAACTCGTCACATACGCTACACATTGTTAATTAATTTGAAATTTTTCCCTTAATAATGAATTAATCTTTCTAATTTTTAGTAGACCAAAGTACAATTGCTAATTCCTTTCACTTATCACTTATACAGTATACGCTTATCACTTATCACTTAGCTTAAATTGCTTTGTTTTAATTGATGTTTTTGTTTGCTATCAGAAAATAAACAACATTTCATCTAAATATAAATTTAAAATATATGAAATCAATTTAAAATGTGTATTTATTTGTATATGAGCATGCCTTCAAGTTATTGCTTTTTGCCATAAACTCATCATGAATCGATCATTAAAAGGCGGAAATTTTCACATCCTATCAATCTATCCATCTATTCATCCTCAATCCATCCCTTTATCGCTTTCATACTTCACTTTATATACCCTTATTATACATATATTCTGGAATAATCCTCTTGTTTTATTGTCATAAATTCATATATTAGCTTTTATTACCGAATTTTATTAATTTTACGTTTAATTATTGAAATTATTTGAAGGATTAAATTATACATATTTTTCCTCAAAGCTTAAAAATTATGGGAAAGACGAGCAAAATGATAATTAAAACATTTTTGATTTGATGATGCAGAAATAAATTGAATGCAACCATATGGATGAATGGGATGGATAGAAATTTTGTGGCCAAAGCAGAAAATTGTTGCTTAAAGCAAGCGATAATTAATGAATGCATTCAATTTGACTAGCAACTAGGAGCAATAGGGACATCCAAGCTAAGCATACGAAATTCTAAAATTATGCTTATATTCAAAATGTAATCAATCGTTCCATTTAGTTGTAATCCAATTTACTACTTTCAGTTATTATTTTATTGAATTTCAGATTTATTCATAGCAGGTTTAATTCATCATTGGTACCTTTCTATTCATAATTATATAGGATGACATCATTTTATTTTGCTAAACCTAAATACTTTTAAGGATTTTAAGATTAATATTTGCAAAATATAAATTCGAATTAAAAATGAAATCGAAATAGAGATGGACAAATGCAAATGAAAGTAATGATTTAATCGTATAAATTGCTAACTTGAAATAAAAATAATTAAAGTATTTAGTGAGTACTTAGTGGAATTAAAGTATTTAGTGAAACAAAAAATAGAAAAAAAAAACTTTACATATTTAGTTCATATCTCGTCTGTTCATATTTAGTATTGAATATATTGTCAAACCGATATGTCTTGTTTAGCTGTATAATATATGATTTATGGTTTATTAGCTGTGGATGAAAAAGAAATGACAATTTGTAAATCATAAATTTTGCCATTTTTTACAATCATTAAAAATTTTGCAATTATAAACATTATAGATTTGAATTCTGTCCGTATTCGTAAAAATTTTTCGTTTTAAATTTGAATTCAGTACATTTAATTTGATTGAATGAAAGTGAAAATTTACATAGCAAATGTAACAATTTAGCTAATTAATCAAAAACAAGACTTCACAAGGTTTAGTTAATTTTTAGCATTATCCAAAAAAAATACATTTATCGCTACTTATATTTAACATTTTTCAGTTTAAATATTACTGTTGAAGACAACATTCATTTATAAAAAAAAAAATTCAAATGTGAAATTAGAATGATAAATATTACTGGTGAGAATGATGAAATGATAAAATGCCTTTTTTTTTTAAAACACTTTAAAGTGGTATATTTTATGCAATGGATTTATACATATATTAAATGCAGTATGGGATGAAAGAAGAAGTATCTAATTCCAACAGGTAAACAGCAATATGAGTTATTTTTGAAATAAAATAAAAAATATTAATCCATCAAAAGTGTTCAATTAATTTATTTTTTCAAAATTCATATTCTATCTTCACTACTTTTCTCAAACATTTTCCTACCCATATTCCTCTAATTTATTCAGGATTTTATAATAACATAAATTTATTAAATATAAACAGATAGTATCTGGGAATTTCAAGAGCTCTTAAAATTAAGCAAAAAGAAATTCTACGAACTGAGTACGATATTATTCATTATGTAACGAAACAATTGCACTGAGAAGAAAATTAAACAAAATACAATCATATATAATAACAAATAAATATAGAAAGAAATTAAAGTGTATACAAAACTTTGCAATTGCCCGATGCTTTGAATTCAAAGAAAAAAAAAGAGTAAGTAAATTTTCTTAATTTTCATTCCCAATTTTAAAATAGTTGTCAGATTATCTTAAAATGAGGAATGAAAATTTCTGAATTGAATGATAGTTATGCTCATCACATCTCAGTGTCGAAATTCATTTCGATGACAATCAAGTAACTACTTAATTAATGATTTTACAAAATACTAGAGAAATGAAGGATGCACTTTTTCAAAACTTGCACAATTACTTGCAGAAATTATGGCTAACAATGCGATGACATGTGTCACATTTCACTTCACAGCACCATACAAATTTACAATGACACCGCTGTTCCTCTACCACTCGAATTGTTGTGTAACCTCGTCCACAGCATAACCTGCAATCAATCAATTTTCAGATCTCAAGATTTTTTTTTTTAAAAAAAATTTCCAGATTTCAAAAATTTGGTACTTCCCCATGACGAAACAATTTGAGAACTTCAAGTTTTAAAACTTCGATTTTTTCAAGATTTTGGGTCACTACAAAAATCTTTCCTTTTTTTTAAGAAAAAAATACTATCAACAAATCCTTTCTCAGCATAAATCTTTCCTAACGATAGAATAAAGGTCATAAAAACGAACATGTTACACTTGTCAAAACATTCGCGACCCTGTGGACTTCGAATATCGTTTAATTTATCTTCCTTGCAATAATCAAGAGAATCATCCAAATAAACAAGCTCATTGTCTAAAATTGACATTTGTCCGAATTTGTGCAGATATCTTCCAGAACGACTTCCTGTTCTTTCCATTCGCGGTATCAATGCTTTACCTTCCGGTGATACACTAACCTAAATGTACTAATTTATTTCAAAAGTTTCCTGAATCAGCATATTTTGCAACCATTCTGTAGTTAAAAAATAACCAGAGAATGATGAAATAAACAACAATCTCCAACCTTAGCAGCATGTGAATATTTTTTCCGTAACAATAAGCCAACTTCTTCAAGTTTCGGTACAACTTTCCAGCATGTTTGCATCACACATGAGCCACTTACACCGTGACATTTGCATTCACGATGCACGCTACTTGATACTGCTTTTCGTCCAACTCGATTATTGTGTAAATTCATCATTGAACTGAAATGTAATTAAAATATGAAGTATCCGTTACAACAATGGCCTCCAAGTGGTAGTCCATGAAAGTGGCGGTGCGATGTGTAGAAAACAACCGGGGGGCTTGTTCTTATCAATATTTGACAAATTGATACGTTAAAAGTTTTAACTAAAATTTATTTTCAAAGTAACAGGATTTATTATTTTTGAATCTTATCGTCTATGCTACAAATAAAAAACCATGATGGTCCCAGGTCAAGATAAGATTGGGGACCACTATTTTATATCACTAAAATGATCCCTAAACTTCTTATAAATTACTTATGAAGATACAATCATCAATCGTTCATTAAGAAAAACTCTAGAAGATTCATCAAGCTCTAGAAGGAAGTTCATATCATCAGATATTAAATCAGTTAACTTGAACTATTGACTACTTCAAGGATATAAATTAGAGTTAGCTTTAGCTGGTTTATAAAAAGAAAACACAAACAGCATTTGAATTGTCATACTTAATTAATTACATTAATAAGTAACATTCATCTGCTTTGTTGTAAATGTAAGGAATTAATTTAAAAAAATCGAAGTAAACTGTCAACAAGTTTTGCAACATGTATATCAATTTTATACACCTAAAATTAAAGACTATAATATTCGTTTTCAGTTGTCGTAAATCATTAACTAATATCATTCTTTAACATGTAAACAATGAATGCAGAAGTAGAAAATAAATAAGTCAAACAAATACTAATCCGTACCTACCGGATAAGGAAAAAAAACGGAAACAAACCGAGCATCATTAATATGTGCTGAATCAGCTGCATCCATAAATTTCCGTCCAAAATTATTTGCAAATTTAATATTATCAGAGCAACCAGCCCATTTGAATTGTTTTGTGATACGTTTCGGATGTATGCCACAACTACAACTTGCAATCGTTCCTTGCGCACATGCTCGTGCCAATGCTCGACTTACTGCAGCAGATGATATGGCGAATACGTAAGCTGATTCTTTGCTTCCAACTAAACAATTCGATAAAATTGTTTCCAAGTATTTCCATGGAATGGAATGCAAATTATGATGGTAATAAATGTTAATTTTAGTATAAATATAATAAATTCTACAATAATTTCACATTCTCATTATAGAAAATGATTCCAAATGTTTGATTAATTTCTAAAATGAAAAAAAAAAGACAGTCATCTTTGATTTTTTATT